TTATTTTTAAAAAGATTTTGTGTGTATTGATCTTGCAGGTGGAATTTAACTGTATTTGCATTAATAGCAAAATACAGTATGATACGGTATATTTAAAAACTTCGACGTGATATGGTTTCATTGTGATATTCGTAATCTACATATAAAATTGAGTACGTTGTGCCCTCAAACTTCCTGGAGCTAAAAAGCTTGTTCCCTAGTGAAATCGCCGTTTCTTTGGCACCATTACAGTGCGCCCTCTATATACATGCACTACACAACCATACGTGTCAGAAGACCAGTGGGGAGTCTGAGCTTGTCTCGCCTGGTGTCCCGTGGGGAGATAACCGGCACTGAACCACGCCTCAAATAATAATAATAATAATAATAATAATAATAATAATAATAATAATAATAATAATAATAAATTCTTTATTATCATTATTATATTATTCTTATTATATTATTATATTACTATTAATATTATACCTGGAGGGGTTAAATTATTATTTCGTTCATCACTATAGCAATTCGAACGTCAATTGCCATGGATACTCGACCAGTAAGTATAGTTCACGTTTTGGCAGGGGGTGTCGGGGAGGTAGGGTCTTCTTTCCCGCTGGATGGTGCGATTTGACGCCGACCTCCAGGACAGCCTGTTATAGTAATGGTAAGGGTAATTGCCCGTGTAACATCTCGTATAGGGTAAGGGCATCCTACTTTTCGGTAGGGTGGTTAAAGATTAACATAATGCAATTTTTTGTTCTTTGTACGATTATAACTTAAATTTAAAGATTTTCTTCACAATACAAATTTTTAGCTGTTTTCTCTTCCTGATGTTCTTGTCCATAGGTGACAATTTCACTGATCATTTCAACTTAAACAGTTTAGCTGCTCTTATCCAAATACTTTCCCCTTATATCATTTCTTTTATTTCGCATTTAACTTACACTTTCACTTAACAATGAGAATTGTCTCCATGTTCTTCTATTTCTTGCTGTTCCATTAACTTTCTTCTTCACGTTTTAATTCGTCTTCCCAAGGACTCTTCTATTTTCAGGGATTTCTTGTACCTCTTCTTTGGTCCCATACTGTAGTTCTGTAACTCCACTAATCGTCGTCGAGTCTTGCTACATGTCCAACCCACCTCCATTTCAGCTGCCTTGCTCTTTAAGTGACTTATTATTCGAGGTTTTGTTCTCTTGTGTTATTTCTTATTTTGTTTTTAGTGTCATTTTTATATCTTTCTTTCCATTCTTCTTTAGTACTAAATCATCTGCAAAACGTAGATTGAACAGTTCCTTTATATTTATATTTACCCCGTACGATTGTTTAATTTTCCTGAAAAAATCTTCTAAAACTGCCGTGAACAGTTTGGGGGAAATGGGATCCCCTTGCCTTACTCTTTGAAGTTTTGTTGGTAATCATATATCATGTTATGCGATAGGTTTCGTGTGGCACGTTAATGTAATAACGTGGCAAAGTGAAACAAAGGAGTGTTGTTGATAGTAACTATATTGTAGTTTTTTCTAACTGAAATAAAACGAAGCATCTCTTCACAAAAGCCCATTATATTTATTGGATTAGTGCTACAGTATATCCGTGGAGACAAGTTCGAATTTCACAACTACTTTGTTTTTATTTTCGCCTTACTGTTTATGTATAATTTCCCCTATAATTTTATATATTTATCTTATACTCCTTGGATCTTTCAAGCTTTAATATCGACATTGTTCTTTTGAATCTAAAGCTTCTGTTAAGTCGATGAACATTAAATATAGGTTTTGGTTGTATTCTCGAGATTTCTCTGCGAGTTGATGAAGGGCCCAAATATCATTTATAGTTGAAAATCCTTTTCTGAATCCTCCTTGGTTACCGTGGTGGTTCTCATATACGATTATTGTTACTATCGTTTGTATTGTCGAAGAAAGTTTGTATTTGACATTGGCGATAATTTATTTTCTTTTGAACTACTTTCATGTAAGAGTATTATACTGTTTTTCTTCCCCTGTTCAGGGATTTCTTCTGTAGTCAACATGTTGAATAAAAGCGTGACGCTATTTGTCATAACATACTCTATTTTCAGATATTCATTTGCAATTCTGTTTTCTCCAAGACTCTTTCCGCATTTTTGTTTCTTTACTTCAACTTGATTTCATCCTTCGTGATAGATGGGACGGATCCTCCTTGACAATGTATTTTTTCGACGTAATGTTTATAGACTTTTTTATTTTTTTTTTTTTTACTGGAAAACTCTCCTGATAAAATGCGATTGCGTTTCCTGCTATAATTTGAGTTGATGTATCCAATTTTTTCTCAAGCATGATTATTCTCTTATGGTTCTATAAGATTTTGTGCTTTGCATTACGTTGTTTATTAGTTGTAATTTATTGTTCCGTACATCTCTCCTGATAATTCTCTTGTCAGTTTGTAGATTTCTGTAAATTCTGTTTGTGAAATTGCGTTTTCAAATTTAGTTAGTAATTAGTTCTCTTTTCTTCAAACTTTCTAGTATATTTTCACTAAGTTTTGATGTTTTGTTTCCGTTTGCGCTTTTTACTTTCAACATCTTTGCTGTGTTTCAAATGTTTTCTTCAATTTTATTGCACATTTGTTGTACTTTTCAATTTCCAGTAAATTTGCTTCCGTCAATTTTCTGTTAGAGTACTAATACTAAAATAACTTGGGACTAATGGCATAACAGTACTAATGACCATAGTAGGGGACTAATAACTGCAGAAATTGTCATACCCGGAAACAACCATCAAACCAAGTAATACGAGATATGAATGTTTTCCTTCTGCCTCTTGAACATGCAGTGGCGCTCTCGGGGTTTCCTACCGCACGCTGCAGCGACGTATGTGCAACCTTGGCGCCTAGGATTACAAGGACAGGCCGGTTCCTCTTCTTACTTGAGTTACAATGGATCGTACCTCATCATTAAGAAGCAAAACGGAAAAACACTGCAAGTTAGTTTCGCACCGCTGATTACTGTAGCGTCTAAAATCTCAAAACACTAATTTTTTTTATTTACTTAACACATAAAACTGTAAGTAACGTATAATGGGAACACGTCTGTAATAGTTTCATGTCCTAACGTTTGAGCAAGTAGAGCGAGATAAATTTTTTTGCATGGTTTTACTTCCAGATATATGATATGTTACAAAATATTTTTTTTTCGGATAAGACATGTTCATCACCAATAAAAACAAACTAGTGGGATTAGGAGAGCGTACATTTTCTCTTACTATTGGTAAGTTGTTACATTGTACTACCTCTTATCTTCCTACTAACAACTCTACATCAAAACTCCAATATTTGTGTACTCAAAATTACGCGAAAACTGGGAATATCTTGAAAAAGGTGTACATGAAATGATTTAAAAGATATAATATTGTGGAATAGATTTCATTTAAAAGAAATGTATAACTATTTAATAAGAAAGGTAATCATTTTGAACTATTCTAAGTTTCGAAATTTCCGCGATTTTAATAAATACCGGACTTGCATCATTCTGATATGTGCTTCCCTCTTTTTGAGTGAGCAAAACAAATTTGAAGACATTTTTGAAAAAAGTCCTAAATGTCCTAGGCATTTCGTGGACAGAACCTATCCCCAAAATATCCGTTTCAAATTCGAGACACCACGACTCATCCATTTCGATCGAGGAATACACATTATAGTTGCAAAACCAGTGTTCGGTTTAGGATTGCTTATGTTATACATGGATAGCCGAAAACCACGAAACAGGATATTGACTATTAACACTATGTATGCGATACATAGTGTACAATACTACGTCGAAGAAATAAGCCTTTTTCTGCAATTTTGCCACTTCCCAGACAAGAACGATGTGCTTGTGAGTTTCGCCCGCGCAGTCTGAGGTTACGAGCGCATGGAAAGTTTCTGTCATCAACTCCGAACCTCAAGAACCGAGTTCGCGTCAGGTTGGCATCTCTAAAATGTGTGCTTTTTCGGGGGCAACAAAGTGGGGCTTCCAACTACAACTCAGTACTTCGTCAAGTTTGCATAAAAAATGTTTAATGCACAATACACTTTTTTTCATTTTCACAAAAAAAACTATCATAGCATGACTAACACTAGTGTCTGCTACGGTTAGTGACTTCAGAATTCATCATAAACCTAGCCACATTCCTCAGGAACATTTATAAAGTAGCACACTTTCTGCATATTTTCATTTTACATTTTTAATTCGCACCTTTCCTCTTGGACATACGTGGGAAGGGAGGAGAACGACTTTTGGACGCTTTTAGGTACCTAAGTCGGAAGTCACCCACTGCCCATGTGCTCACTATATTAGTATCAGAATACACGTAATTAAGTTTACAAATACTGGAAGCAACTTTCTTTCCCACAAGGCAAAACATTATAAAATAGAAATTACGATATTTTGTAGAAAATGGTCCTACATGACGAAGTTGAATATTACTTTCTTTTCTATCTTCGATCGTTTCGACAAAAGGACCACGCTTGCATATGTTCAACTCTACAAATCCACTACTCTACAAAAGTGTGAACCAAGGAAAGTTTAAGATTACAAAACTCTAAATTTTGCATTAATACTTATCAACCCATGTAATTTACCTCTTAATCATGTGAAGAGTTAGACTTCGTCCCATAATTTAATATGTTCCATATGTTCCATTATGAAAATGTTAATTCCGCAGCTCGAATATTCAAAAGCCCAAATTGCTACGCCCCTTACGCAGTGGACGGACTACAGTTTCTTGCACCCATCGATACGTCACACGGCAATACCGAGGGCGGACAAACAGCGCGACGGCTTCGAAGGAAATACGCGCGAAAAACTATCTATAATGAAGTTCGTGCGATGTCATTCCTTTCACACATCGTCGTGACACAAGTAACGTTTCTTTTCCTTAGATAATGCGACCGTTAAGCATCAGGAAATCGAAAGCTCGATCCGCATTGCATTTGCTTACGATATTTTCAAATAGTCGGATGCCACCGCAGTGCATCACCTGTTGCGTTACGAGTACCTGTGGCGAAGCGGGCGAGCAGGGCGCGCAGGCAGCAGGTCCGAGGGGCGGGGGTGGGGCGGGGGGCGGGTGGTGAGGCCCGGCGAAGGCGAAGGCCGCAGGCGGAGGGGCGCGGAGTCGCCGGCGCCATCGCAGGCGCAGCCAGCGCAGGCACGACGCTCCACAGCCCCAATGCGACGCGGCCCCAACATGCTCGGCCGCACACGCGCGACACACCACTGGCCCGGCGCCTCTGACGGGGGGCGCGGCGCGATCGGCGGCGAGGGGGGGGGAGTGGGGTGCAGGGGGAGAGCGCGGGGGCGGGGGCGGGACCAGACCAACTCCGCTTGCCACACACGCGCGAGACAATGAACCCAATCTCCTAGTATTCTTTTTCCTCCTTCAATTCAACTACAATTTCTTCACAACTTCAATCTCAACCCTTCAACTTCCACACTCTTCCTATAAGCTGAATACAAACTACACAGCAGCGTTGTCACTTGTCAACGCACCTAATTTGGATGGCTTGACCTACCTGCAATGGAGATTAGTCGCTGGTGGTGCGGAGGTGCGGTGGTGCTGTGGTGGTGGTGGTGCGGTGGTGGTAGTGGCGCCGCCGCCTACGTGAGGTCCTGCTGCGGTAGGCGCATGGTGACTGGGTCGGGGGCGACTAGGGGGCGAGGACGGCGGCAGCGGCGGCGTCGGCGGTCGGCCGGGCAGACATGGCGAGGGGGGCGGCGGCGATGGGCGACCTGCGGCACGGCAAACAGGCGCTTAGCGCTAAGCCCCTCGCAGCACGCAGCCTCAATCCGCCCACCACATCACGCAACGACCATTCTTGAAACATTCCGTTCGGACATCGTTTTAAAATAAATAAAATCAACTCGTCCGGGTCAAAGGATTCCAAGGCTGCAAACATCGACGATAAGATCAAGAATCCCATTGCTCTACACACGGTAGTGATATCGCACTTTCACACACACGGTGCGTGAAAATCAGACAACCCTGGCTTTTGCGCCCCTGCTTCAAAAACGGTTTATTTGTTATTCATATTAACTTCATTTTACATCCATTTCTAACAACAATATAGCGATTGCTTAGGGCACACACAACGTCCAGAATTATTAGTATCGAGAAACGCAAGCTTCAAAGTTTTCAAAGGTCCAATTATTAATGGAGTGATTACGTTTGCTTTCAGAAAAAAGCACCATTCCTCTAAAACACTCTATTTGTGTGTAGATATAAATAAGAGGTCTCCAAAAATGATATCGACTTAAAAATGACCATGAGTGGCCATACAATGTTTATGCACCGAGACATCGATAGAATATTCTGATGATTGTTTGCTATTTTAAGTAGAGTCTTCCTAATTCTATGTTGAAAGAAAAATGGACTCAAAATGCCCTGCTCATATTGTATAATGTTATGTTGTTAACTTTTGTACTACCAATAAGATAATCTAAAATAATTTACTTTTCCTTCAATAAAAATTAATTACGATTTAAATGAAACCAAAACATCCACCTTTCTAACATTAAGGACCCACCAAGTGCGCTTGAGAGAGGAGTGACGCGGGTTGCCTGTCCGCAGGCGCAACACGGACTTGTCTTGCAGTCATATGATAGATGAATGGATTGATTGGTAATGGGTCGTGTCAACTGCTAAGGTAATTCGTCCCGTAAATGCAGTGCATGTTTTAAACGCGGGATGTGACTGTCATCTGCCACTATTGGATGAGTTCCGGCGCCGACCTATCGTCGGGTGGCGGGATTTCCCTCAACCAGCTATCTTCCACCAGCGAGGCATCGCCCCAACTGGGACAAAGCTCTAAGCTCCGGACCGGTCTCCCGGCATGTTTGGTAATGTAATTCATGTCAGTGTAGGAGTGTGTAAGGGGGTCGAGCGTGTAAGGTATTCGACAGCAGAAGAAAGACCGTACGCAGTCCGTGGCCCTTTTGTTAGGGTACTGCTCCGGCATTCATCTGATGTTGATCGAAGAAACGACGGGAAAATACCAATCAGAGCAGACGGCATCTAGAATTCTACTCCAGATAGCGACAAAAGCCTAGCCAACTATCTACTGTCGAAAACCCTGCCGCCGTCTGGATTCGAACCCGAGGACCTTCCAGTCAGAAGCCCTGCACTGACATCAGCTGATGTCCTGAGCCACCTATGCTGGTTCAAAAATTTGGAGGAAATTTGGAATTTTGCGATCATTATATTTTCTCTACACGTGAGTTATAAAGTGGATTTCCTTAATGATGCGCCAGCTACACGGCTCAGGTGGATAGCCACTGCAGCGTATCTCACCGGGTTGTCTTGGAGTGCAAGCCTCAATGGTGGCAGATCGCGGACACTAGCTACACAGCTCGGTCGATTCCAGCCACTGTGTACGGAAGAAATCTACAGGCCGGCTGCTCTGATAGATCCATGAGGGCAATGCTGGAGCTTTATCCTACCAAACGGAACGTCAGAGATCTTTCCTTTCTCATAATTACCGTCGTAGCTCACAAACTTACATCTCCTAGATATTCACACAAGACGGGAGACTGGTCCGAAATTAATAGCTTGTCCAGGTGATATGGCAACGCACATCTGGCGAAAATACCTACAGTGGAAAATTCTGCAAACTGAGAGCAGGTTGCCGTCGAATGTCACGTTCTAGCAAAAGACAAACACAGCCGCCTCCTGGGATACAACATTCACTACACGTACGTAGCTTATCATGGCAATTGACGCGTTTGCAAACAAAATGATAATTCATTCAATTAAAGTCTCTAGTTTCTTAGAACGAAAACGCTCTTCAATATTTAACTACGAGAAATATGGCTAATGGAAACGCTTTTCGTTCCCTTTACTCAGTGTTATCAATTAGATAAATGAGGGGTAAAAACAAAATCTGAAATACGTACGGTGGGAAATTAATTCCCATACAGTCGATAGTTTCACGACCAGTTACATCCAAAAGAAAGGGTAGTCTACTTGGACAGGTCCTGGTATGAAAACGTTGTAGATTCAGTACACTTTTTTGCATGATATTCAGAGCTTGACAAAAATTTGATATTCTACTTGCGCATTATACAATTCCATAGTCTCCAGCAAGAAATATGCAAACTCAAAAGAATGACTCGATCTAATTTCTGCCCTACTAACATCTCAGGTATAATTTAAAGACCAGTCCAATTCAAACAAGCGCCTGTGGCACATTTATGCATTCATTTCGGTAGTAATATATCGTCATTCCTTTTTTTTTACTTTCCCGTATATGTACGTATATATGAAGTATTATAAGCAGTATACGGAGAGTTGTATAATGCTGCGGAAAATTGATTTCAACGGAAATACAAGGTTTGGGAGTCCTCTGATACCGTCAAAGCCTGTCTGTCCGATTGTCCGTCTGTGAACACCACTAGCGCTTAATCCATACGTAGGATTGTTTCCAAAATGAAGAAACCCCTGTCTATCTGGCTCAAGTCGAACCTTTGAGATTTTTTAAAAAAAAATGTATTTACAATTCGGAGGTACTTTACATGTCCTCCGAAGATTTTCAAAAATTTCTCGATAAAGTGTTCCACATTTTTTCATTAAATTTCTTGTAAGAATAAATTAAAGTACACTTAAATAGGAGGCATAGGTCCGATTTTCACGGTTAACTCTGAATTAGGAAACATTTTTGAGCGTCTTCTTAGAACTACAAAATTGAAGATAGACGTTTTTCCTTTAAATACAATTTGTACTCAATAGCGAGTTCTTTCAATGAGGTCATTTTTGTTGTTGAAAATTTTAGTAGTTATTTCGCGCATTACTGCGAGCAAAATGTGAAATTAGACAACAAAGGGATGAATTTGAAGAACTTTTAAATCACAGTGTTGGGAAATGAAAACGCGTCAAAGGAAGTCATTGTCGGAAGAGAGGTCGGTAGCAACAAAACCTCGTTTCATTTTTGCTGCCAACGCACATTCAAAAAGTGTTCCAACTTCGTATGTTTGTATTTGAAAAAGTAAAATAATATGAAATAGTAAATGGACGAATACTATTATAAACAAATTTGTAGACACGGCAGTTAAATATTACCAACTTCTAGATTGTCCTTTCACATTGTGTACATTCGAACAAACGTGTAAATGAGTAGCAAATTCCCAATTCTTAGTTTTATGGTATCGATTTAAAAAAGCTAACTTTATGCGCATTGTAATAAGTTTACGATTATCATAAATCAAGTAGAAATGTGTTACATCACCACCACACACGAAGCGCGGGAAATTCGAATTTACCATTTCGAAATGTTTCCAATTTTCGAAAACATAGAGTGCACCAAAAATGGAACCGGCACCACTTTCTTTGCCTTTCTTTGCTACAAACGTAAAAAAAAAGAAAAAAAATTGGAGTCTGAGAAAATATTTGTTTAAAATTTTAAAAATTGCCTGTTTGAAACAAAATTCCGTCAAAAATATTCATATTTTGGAAAAAAATTAGCATGACTTTCATTGAACACCTGTTTTTGATGAACATACTTCATGCAAAAAACACTAATCTTCAAAATTGTAGAAAGTATGTAATGCCGAAAAAATTCAGTTTGAGTTCTTTCCAGTTTTCGAAAATTCAGTATTTCCAGGAAAACGATGCCTGCACCATTCTCTTTAGCATCCTTTACGCTATCTGAGGTAAAAATGTAATCAAAATATGTTGACCCTTTTTTGAAAACATTGCAAAATGTACAAGTTCATGTAAAGTCCTCCCAAAAATTAAAATACCGGTTTCAAATTCAAAGGGCCACCACAACAGCCAGATCGATTGGGGAATATGAATTTTGAAAAAAATCAGCTGAACGGTTTTACCGCTAGCGTTGACCATAGATCGACAGACGGACAGATGTGCAGCTAATTGGACAGACGGATTATCAGGACTGATGTTGAATTGAATAGAAATTGAATTAATGCCTTATTTTACGTGGCGAGACTCAGGCCATGAGGCCTGCTCTTCCATCTGACCATGAAAATTTCGCTACGCTCCTTTCACCAACTAGCAGAGAAAGGAGGTATTTCTTGGGCGAGAAAAAGGCTATTTGAATTTAGCTCAAAGGCGTCATTTAGGCTTGAGGATCTTTTACATGCAAGTAAATCTACTAGCATGGGACAGCCGGCTTTACTGTCCCTCCGAACGAAGGCGTACGAAGGGTTGTTCGCCCTTTAAAATTCACGGCTTCGATCGGGTTTGATGTTTGATTTGATCGGGTTCGATATTTTCCCGTCAATCCATTTTTCGGTACCAAGAACTCACAAAACATAGATTCTGACTACACAATTTTCTAAATGCTACATTAAATAGCATACACTTCCCACTTAAAGTCGTGGTAACTGATAATTCCTAGGCATTTTAGGATCCAATGGGTTCCCTAGACTTCCCCACAGGACATTGAAGTTTCTTTCCTCCGTTTACTACCAGCAGTGCTAAATTGCTCCATCGTAATTTACAAATTGTGTGTAAAGTTTAATAGAGCTTCTGACAGCAATTAACGAGATAATACATCGCCTCGAGTCGTGATCCCCAGGGTCTTGAGGACACTGACTGTAAATTTTGGCATAGCCCCAGAGGTTCCAACCACCACTGACAGGATTCTGGCGTTGGGTACTCCATGAAGTTGGGCTGCCAGGGAAATGACTGGTTGGTTTTTTACCATCCTTTCCTCCCCTGCTTTCAGAAGGTTAGACCCATCCACGTGGCGGACAGTCACATCGACCACGTGAACCCCTTCCCGGCTGAAATAAGAGAATGTAAATTACAATATAAAAGGCAAATTTATCCATTTTTTCATTACCAGGGTGCCACAATAAGAGAACTTCAAATCCATGTTCGTGGATCTTTGATACAGAAAAGACGATTGACGGCAAAACGTCAGTCTGTCCGTCCATCTGTCTCTTAAATTTTCGCAAGATCAGGCATTTCAACGAACCTGCACCATTCTCTTAAGCGTCCTTTATTCTATCGAAGGTTCCAATTTAATTTTGAAAAATGTGTTGTTTTTTTACGAAAACACGATTTTAAATATATATATATATATATATATATATATATATATATATATATATATATATTTGACACAAAATTACGCAAACATTTAAATTTTTAAAATGAATATTTTATAATTTATTTAAAATGTATTTTAAATTGCAATCTTTAATTGAGTAAAATACGTAAATCTATACGTAAT